CTTGGCCTTGGCCTTGGCCTTCCATGTCCATCTCCTCCGGGTCTTGCCAAACAAGCTTGTGATCCTGAACCGTAGCTAGCAGGCAGTCACCTGACACGATGCCACACTGCCTGCCAATAGCAATGCCAGTGAGCTCGCTGTCCCCCGTGCAGATGACAGATCGAATGTCACCTTCCTTGAGCTGCTGGATAGCCTGGGGGGCTTCCCTCTTCATCTCGTTTCGGAAAAGCAAGAGTCCACAGAATTGGACATTCTGCTCCAGTTCCGAGCGCGACATTTCACCCACTTCCGAATTGGACTTCTCCGGAAGGCTTCTATGGCAAATGCTCAGGGCATAGTAGTTAGCCTTGGCATGGGCGCTGATGGTGGCACCATAGTCAGCTGGTAAGGACGAAGGACAGGCCACTGCCTGAATCTTGTCGGGCGAGCCTTTCACAAAGACCTCAAGCTGTCCTCGTGACCTCCGAACGACGACGCCACTTGTCATGCTCTGGTGGTCAAACTGCATGTCTCGGACGATTTCAACCTCTTCATCTGGAAGGATGATGGCATTTTGAGTGATCCTGCAGTTTGTCTTCCGCAACATTGCACACTCCAGCTCGTTTCCCACAAGGCTCCCGTCGTCAAGCTGCTTCACCTCTGCCAAACAACAACAAATAAACGCTCCCATGGCATAACTAGGGCCAACTAGGGGTCATGACCTCGAAATACTTATCATCACTTGTGACTCCCTCGAGATGTTTCGAACTTGGACCGCCAGACGATGGCTGAAGCAAGTGCAAGTTTAAGCTGACTCGACCCCGTTTGGAGAGCTGGCATGGGGCTTTGCTAAAAGACGAAACTGCAGCAAACTGCAGTTTGCAATGCCTGCGACTTAAGCAAGAGAAGATCCTCCCCTGCTGGGAAAGGTAGTGGCGCTTGCCGGAACGCGGAGCCAGTGGCAGAAGTGGACCCGCTCTCAACTGCTTTCATTGCACCATGTTGCACCGTTCCCTCTTCCTGACACCAAAGGAACATCCAGTCGAACCCCACCCGAAGGACCTACCGTTCTCTCGCGGCTGCGGTCGGTTGGCAGGAACTCGGAACAGCCTGGAGTCTTGAGGACACTTTCGGCGTGCGAAGCGCAGAACAAACAGCCATCACAGACCTCAACGCAGCACGATATGATGATTCTCTGGCCAAGTCACGGTGTGGCATACGGCCATCGCACACTGTAGTAGATTCGGAAGCTCGCGTGGCCTGTCCACGTCGCCCGACTCTGGTTCACCATCTATCCAAAGCAGCGGCTGGAAGTGTGCAGTCTCGTCCAACTTTTGGGTGGCTTGCACGCTCACGAGATCCATTGTAGACTTCGTGATGGTGCCAGTCTTGTCGAAAACCATGGTGGAGATCTTCCCTGCTATTGGGATTCGACCAGGCTGCAAGCATTTGATTTGGTATCCTCGGGCAGCTGTGAGACGCTTCGCCGACACGGACTGCCCCATAACTAGCGATACGGGCAGCATGGGGCTCACGGTCCCGGCGATCGCGCAAGTCACGTTCAAGAACGTCACTACGGGAGAACCTTCGTGGGCAGCGAAGAGATGGAGCATCACCAACACCGTTGCTTTTGCGAACATCAAAGCATAGACAGTGGGCAGCTGGTCGTTGTACTTGAACTTCACACTCGATGGGAAAAGGACCATTCTCACAAGTTCGCCTCTCGTGGTACGAGCCCCAACCTCCGTGCAGTAAAGGAGGGCGAATCCCCCGTGTTCTGTCTCACCTCTGGACTCAATGATGCGGGTCCCTGCAAAGGCCTTGTTGCTCTTCGGGTGCACTTGATAGTGGTCGACGTCTTCGACAGGCACCTTGGCGATGGGCATGGGCTCACCTGTCAGCATTGACTCATTGACGATAAGGCTGCCGCTGATCAGCATGCCATCGCAGGGGAGTTCGGCATCCTTTCCTCCCTTAACTTGGACGATGTCGCCTTGAACAATCTCCGAAACATCCAGCTGCCGGAACTTGCCCTCCCGCAGGACTACGCAGCTTTTCTGCATCCTCGCCATATCGGAGACTCTTTTCTTGCTCGGTCGTGTAATCCCAAGCGCTCGATAAGTCCCGGAGCCAAGAGTCATGAACAGCCAAAGGAGACCGATATTCCAGGTGGTGTACCTTGTGCTTGATACGTACAAAAACCAGTCAGAAACCAATCCCTGAGCGGCCTGCAGCCCAAAACAGAAATCTTAATGTCCAGGTGGTTGGCGCAACGTATGTCCAGATCGCGATTGAGTTGAACACGTATGTGAAGTGCGAGAACTCGCAAGCCAATGCTTCCAGCCGACCTAAGAGTTTCGTGCACTTATTTCTGGAGTTGATTTTTCGGGGTGGGTCCAGGTTTCGAGACATACAAATGCACAACTTTGGGACTCCGAACCAGTCGTGGCTTGCTGCGAAGGGTTGCATCGCTGCTCAAGCCATTTGGTTTGATCGATGGCTTAACCAGTGCCCAGCTCGAGCTGCCCACACTCAGAGCCCGCGGTCCGCGAGAAGAGCCAAGGCACTTGGAACTGGGACGTGGATGGAGTTCGGCCCACAGCTCTCCTGGGAAGCGGCAGCTTCCGCCTGACGCAAAACAAACAAAAGAAATCTCAGGGTGGCCCAGGGCCCCAGGCTAGTGCCTCCGACAGGCCGCCCGACCGCAGCCTGCGATGCATTTCTCCGGCCTCGCAGGAACGCAAGACTAACGCAAGGGCTTTGCCAAACTTCGCCCCAAGAAGGCTCCTAGCTGGTCTTATGACCTGGCCGGGGGCTTGCCTCGGGCTTGCAGAGGTTGGCGAGGACGAAGGCATCGCAAGCCTCGCCTAAGCAGCTGTGTGTCACAACTTTTTCCGGTCGCCAGCCTCTTAAAACACGAAAGGCAAAGCCACATGCCACACAAAAGCCGTGTCTCTGTACACGTACCTCACGCAGGTGTACTCCGCATACCGATGGCCACTCTCAGATTGAAGGACAGGCAGCATTTCACGCATGCGAACTCGATGCAAGTACTCGCCGAAGACGACCAACAGCGACTTCCGCAGCTCGTCGACACCCATTTCAACTTTGGGGCACTCCTGAACAAGTAGGTGCGTCGCAGCACACATCCTCGGAACTGGCAACATGGCATGAGAGTGTACGGCGTCCCAAAAGACAAGGAGTACCGCGAGGAAGAAGTGTTCTAGAACGAAGCAGACGGCCCAGGGGAGCATGAGACCATCCCAGGATTGGAAGGTGTGGAGCCAAAACTCTGCCCCCGGTGGAAACCACAAATTGGCAAAGATCACATAGGACATCCAACATCCCCACAGCATGAAGACGTAGCCCATGCCGAGCAGTACCATCCAGGACCTCATGAGCCATGAACCGAAGACGGACGTGCGGTAGCCGTACTGCATGAAGCGACGGGACGGCGAGGTTCCGTCTGCTGCTCCTGGTTTACAGACCTTGAGCTCCGCGCCGGCCAACTGGCCTCTGCTCTGCAGATTGCCGGTGAAGACTTGGCGATAAACGTACCAGAGAAACGTTACAAAGCACAATCCGCCGCAAACCCACAGCTGCACACGAACCAGCGTCCAACTTATGGGAGACAGGTGCGATACCATGGTCGCAGAATGCCGGGGCCTCCTACCCGAGTATTCCACTTTGTTTCCAGTTATTTGATTAGCACGCTATGAAACCTGCTTCGGGAATTGCTGTGCCAATTACCAGTCACCAGTCCCTACATGTCCGTACTGCTTCGAGCCACGGCGAGCTTGCCAAGCCTCCAACTACATTTGCGCGCAAGACACGATTTGAAAGACAACTGGAAGCTGCACCGTGAGGACCCAGGCTTTGGCAGACTAGCTCGCAGTTGGAGGTTCCACATACTGCCGCTTCAAAGCAGGATCTGGGTTCCGGATCCAGCCCACAGCCCCAAACCGCTCAGAACGGTTAGAAGCGTCAAGAAGCGCGTCAAAGTAGGGCACTGAAGTCATCATCTCACGGGATTGGGCTCGAGGAGCGAGTGTTCGAAGGTTATCGGCTGTTTTTCCATGGAGAGACTCTCACTCATGGGTGCATACCTTCTTTGAAGGCGCCACTCCTGAACTCCTTGATAAAACCACCTTCGGCTGGGTTCGCCAAACCAACCGAAGGTGACTACGGAGTCATTTCTTCCATCTGCTCCAAGGCTTTCTCCGTGTCCAGAGGCATCATGTACCACATGGGAAGCTGTCCTGACAAATTGCGACGTACGTTCTTGCCGCATCCCGGGTGTGTGTTTGTGTGTGTGTGTGTGTGCGTGTCTAGCGGAAGGGACAAACACCCCGGACGACGCACGCACACACCCTTCTCGACTGAACTCATATATTTACATCTTGTCAAGCAAGCCAACGTAGCTAGATACTACAATGTACTATACGATCAAGGTCATGGTCCTTCTCTGCTAGCTGGAGAAAAACTCAGAAACATCTGGAATTTCCAGGAAAACTAAGGGTCGCTATAAACAACTGTAGCTGAAGAATTCCATCCATCAGTATTCCTTCAATATCTCCTGGCGCACACTTTCACTTTCCACAATATGAAGCACTTCCTGCCGACCTCAACGTTTGCTATGAAACCTGGACAATTCCAGGACAAAACAAGCTATATAAAGCCAGGAGAAGCTAGAAACAGCTCACAAAAATTCGAACAAGCTAGATGTCGGACTCGCTAGAAACTCCTAGTGACTCATGCTTTCAGCAAAAGAGACATGAGATTCCTTTTCTCGTTGTCTGTGCCCAGAGAAGCACCTTGTTTGTGCATGCGAGGGGGGAGGGGGGGGGTTCGTGCCCTGTTCCTGAATGTTTGTTTAAGAGTTTCGTTTGGGGAGTGGGACGGGAGTGGGGCGGGTGGGAGTGGTTGCGTCGATGTTGTTGCTATCTTGACTTCGAACCCTAAATGACGCCTTTAGTAACCTGAAACCCAGCACCGTTAGTGTATGAATGGGTGTTGCTTGTTGCAACCCCCCACGCAGACACAAAGAAAGAAATAAAGAACAAAAATAACGATCAAGTTAAACATGAACGACCTGGAAAGAAAGAACGAACGACATAAATAGATAATCAATAAATAAATACATAAACAAATAGATAGATAATGAAAGAAATACAGAACAAAAGAAAGAAATACATAACGAAAGAAGAGGATTTAAGGACATGAGGAAATACACAAATACAGAAATACATAAATAACGAACCAAGCAAAGACATAATCAACGACATAAATACAACATGTACAGAAAGACTGACAGAACAAGATACATGACCTAATAACGACAAACAGATCGACGCAACTTGAAGAAACATTCAGTTCAGGAAGAAGGGGTAAACAACAGGAAGACCCGAAGAAAGAAGGAAACAACATCGAAACAAGCGAGAACAAGAGACAAAACTAAGCAGAACACTACTATTTACAGCCTCGCTGGCTTCAGGCTTACGTACCGGTGTTTAGAGTTTAAAGTTAGAGGCTAGAGGGCAAAAACGCACGTAACTCTGAACTCGTATTGACCGGCCCTCAACAAGACTCTCACTTGACCGTCAACCGAAACCATGCGTCTTGCGACATTTCTCCAACACTTCCAAGGTCCGAAAATCACGCACGAACAGAGATCAACGCGGCATTTAGCATTGTTAGCATCATTAAACGTTCACCATGCAGGAGATGTGTGGGATGCTTTGACAGGCCCGGCGTCCGGTGCGATTGCAGACAGCCGCCTGTGCGGTAGACCAGCTCCTCTTGATCCGATCGACCTCAAGCGGTGGGCGGTGGGCGGTGCGGTGGTGCGGAGGTGGGAGTCGAAGGGAACAAAGAAAACTTGCAGTTAAGACTCCGTGGATTCCACAAGGCTCAGTTCTGGTGAGGCCAGGCCCGAAACGGCGAAGCGATGGTAGAGCATCCTGACAGACTTTCCCTTTGAGCAACAACGTAGTGCAGCAGCCCACCGATCGGGTGAGGACGCGATGGCCTCTGCTTCCCCACGAATAACCCAAGCATGCCAGGCATACTAGGCCTGCCTCCGACCGGTACAAGTAGCACGAGCCGTAAAAAGGCTCGGGACTAGCGGTCCTCAAGCTGCCCATGACGCCGCGGACCTGCTCCAAGGTCTCGAAGGCCAAAGGGGATGCACAGCCTCGACACGAGCTGAGAGACAGTTGTCACGCTTCTGCCCCGCTGGTGCTCTCCAAGCCCGGCTCGTGTCGTAAAGCTGTGTTGCAAAGAAACTGGGCTTGGAGTGCAGCTCTATGCAGCTCTGCAACGCTCTGCAACGCTCTTCATTGTTCAGACATTTTGAGAGCTCCTGCCCTGGCCCTGGCCTTCCTGTTGAAGGAAGGTGACGAAAGCCTCGCCGTCGTCCAAGTGGGACGCCAGCTCGCCTCAAACGCCCAAAGCTACTTTCAGCTCGCACACACGGTCACAATGAATATTTCTTCTTGCCGTCCTTTACGGCGCATCTATGGGGGATGTTGCTGGCTCATGTCGGGTCTGAGCACGTGCCCCGCAAGCGGCTCAGCGGCTCAGCGGCTCAGGACCTGAACCTCTCAGAGACTCAGCCGACAGCCGACCGTCTCTTCAGCTCAGTCGCCCATGAGGTTCGAACACAGCCGCCAAGTCTTCTTGAGCGCCCTGGACGTGGCAAGCACAGTTTCTTTTAAGGATCACGGAGAGGTTCAGCATCAGCATGTATCAAGGATCACATATGCAGACATGTTCAGGATCAAATTTGATCTTGCAGTCAAGGCGGTATTTCGGTCTTGCTCGAGTGTACAAGTAGGCGCCAAGCTACTTTGACTCTTCATCTTCGCTTGGGCTGAGCAGCAGTCTGGGGCGACTGCAGCGGCCGTGCAAGAAGCACTTGCGTGACAGGCAAGCCGCTTGGAGCCAGAAACAGAA